AAAATGTATACATTTTCCTTCAAAATTCTACACACAACATATCATGACAATGTGTAAAATGTCCCAATGCAATAACATAGTAAGCTGCATGGATGTCTTCAAAGCATCGACTCGCCAGTTCTCCAAATGTGACTTCCTGGCGTGAAGGTGCAGCCATGCGTGTCTTTTAAATGTGTTTGTGCGGCGATAAGCGGCCGTCGAGGATGTAGGAGGATGCTAGAGGAGACGTGAAAAGATGAAGAGGGAGGTGACGGGAGGAAGATAGAAGAGCCGAGTTTGAGACCAACGTCCGTTGAGGTCTCGGGGTTTATTTTGCGCTTGAGCCACTCGTCTGATTGGTTACGCTGTGACACAGATGGGCTGTTGCTCTCTCTCAATGCTGACAACTTCTTCAGTTCACTGGATTCGGCCCTACCTCGTCCTTGGTAGGGTTGCTAACATTGTTGCAGAAAGGTTAGCGTACTTAACAAATAGCATAGACACTGAAGGCAGTACAAAAATTGCGGCAATTAGTAAGGGGCAGGGACTGAGCCCTACCACGAATAACAAAAACCTGTGAAGAATTTCGGACTCCTCCTGGCTGCAAAACACTTTCAACCGAGATGATCATAAATTAACACCATGTAAAGTTAAGTGTTTAAAATTAGGGATTCAAGCCTCTGCGAGCATTTCAAATCAGGTTCTCAAACAATACTTACGATTACAAATGAGGGTTTAGGTGTTGTTCCCCTCGGTCAGTAAAATAGAGTGAAATTTTCATTCAACTAACCAAGACTAAATACTCATGTCCTACCTTCATTTCAGCAGGTTTGTAGTATCGGCGGTCCTTGTCCTCATTGGAGGTACGGTATCCATCGCGGAGGAAGCGCTTGAAGCCGTATTTGCCACGCAGCTTGCGGACGATTTTGTCCAGTGTCTGGCTATAGAGTGCGTCGTCGTCCACGGCGAAGGCAGGGTAGCTGATGGTCGGCAGTAAGGCTGCGTCTGTGTTCTACCAAACAAAAAAGAATTGCGGAAAAAAAGTGTTTCCAAACTATTGTTCTCCAATTCTACTATATTTTTTTCCAGTCATTTTTTTTTCAATTCCATTATGAAAGCTTGGTGGCAAAATGACTTGAAATAATCCACAGAATAAAAACAATATAAAAATCAATTCTAGGCACATGCACACATGAAACGTAAATGTTGCATGATTGATATCGGCACTCTGGTTGCCAGTTAATCGCAACACTCACTACCATGGCCCAGAGGAAAAGAACTCAAAATAGGCCACAGATTGAAAAAAAATTGAGTTTTCTGTCACGTCGAGTGAGCGTGCAATATAGGTGCGGTTTCATTAATGAGATTGCGCTTCTATATTCCTGATAACGCCACCTTGCACAACAGAATTAAACACGACAACCCTGAATAATGAGTCCAGACAAAAAAAAAAAAAGTCCATGTGGCTCTCCCTGTTGGTTGTGTCTTGCCGCACCCGAGGCGGGTGGTCGAATGTCTCGCCAAATGGAATATTGAATTCCAATCCTCCGTCACAGGCCAAAGGGTCCGGATGTCACACTGATATTTTAGTCATTTTGTGGTTTGTTTCTTCTTCAAGCCTCATTTTCAAACATTGAGGCGCGGTGCTGAGTTCCCGACACCCGCTGACACCTTGACGTTTGTCTGATGTGCGCAATTAACCTCTCATAGCTGTCGTCACGAGGCTTCTATTCCAAGTCTGACGGGAGGGAAGAGGATGAGGAGGGGGGGGGTGAAGAAGATGAAGAGGGGATTAAGATCGCAGCTGCTCCGAGAAACGAATTGAGGACGCCTCCGAGAGGAAACACTTCAGCTTTTTAGAGTCCATTCAGCGCTCAAATGCACCAGGATCCATCTCGGGGAAAAAGTTCATCAGCTCAGTGGAACAGCTGCTAATTAATAACCACCGTTTCGTGGTGAAATCCACAGCCCCCCTAACTCGCCCATGCCCCCCGCCCCACGCACACACATACATTGACTCCTTTTCTTATCGGTGCTCCTCCACTCTCAAGTTTTCTCCCATTTTGCTATGAATCTTGTAAACTTGAACCTTGTAAACACAGATATCATTTTCTTTCCCTTACATTTTATAATTAACACACATTTCAAGGTCCAACTGTGAGATTGATATAAGAACATATGTATCATAATTCTTTTGGTGTTATTTTTGGACAAATGTAAAACACTAACTATTACAAAATAGAAATAAACCGAAAAACAAGAAATAATACACAAAGTCAAAAAGAAAAAAAGAAGTGCAACGGCTTATGTAATGCTGAGCTTCTCAAGACAAACTAAGATCCAAATGAATTACTATTTGAACAATTATTTATGATACAAATAATACCGCAATTTATCTTCACAACACTGTGGAGAGTAAAGATCATTCAAGTTTAAAATAATTTTTTTTTTCCAATTTATGCTTTGTGCCAAGGTCAGATGAATGAACAAATCACATTACTGAACCTCCAGTAACTGCTTTAGAAATGGTCATCTTAGTACGGTTTGCTCCCGATTCGGTTTTGAATGCCAGGCTGGGATTCAGCTGCTATTCACACATGGGCACATGTGCAACACATGAGTCATACGATGAAACTGACGACTTATTATTCATGATGACCATCGTCTTGTCAAATAGAAATAAAAATGACTAGTAGAAAGAATCCACCCCGATAGTCCCTCCCACGCGAACATCAGTGGGTGGTTGGTGTAACACTGTGGCTGCACTCACGTGAGAGCGGGACTCTCGAGGAAGCAGGGAGCACAATGTTTGTCGGTTTCGGTTGTGGGCGTCCAGATCCACGAAGATCACCGACCAGGAGCAACCCTAAACACGTGCACACGCACACACACTTGTTTAAAATACTAACCAACATTGAACAGATGAAGTGCAGCGTGGGAGTGCTCCAACAACAGCGAGTCAAGAGTCATCCCATCATTCCAAAACATCCCGTGCACTTAAACGCCTCACCAGCGATGGTGCTTTATACTTAGCGAGTGGTCAAGCGTTTAGAACCACAAAACACACACACACACACACACACACACACACATCTCTACGCTCTCCACCTGCTAAGCACTTTTTAATGTAAGCACAGATGTATTATGGATGATTATTGCCTACACGGACGTCCATTTGAGAAAAAAAAAATCTCGGACAGAGAGGGCTTTTAGTCAAATCGGTGCGGTGTGCAAAGTGCAAAGGATTGTAGGTCAGCACTGCTGATTGGAGGCTGGGGGGGAAAAAAAGTGCGTGAGGCCAGTTGTTTCCGCCAATGGTCGTCAAAGCGTCGCTTAAAATTGGCTTCTTTAAACATTATGTAATAATCAATCACTTCAAATGTGTTTATCTGATGAATTGTTTCGGTGCTTAATTGTAAATACTGAAATGTAAAAAGAAAAAGATACCATTACTAAATAATGCTAAAATAAAAATATAAATATATATTTGACAATTATGTATTTATTTCGACTGTATAAAATAATGTCACCTAAAAATGAGAATGATTTATTGTGTCATTATGAAAACAAACGCTTATATTTTTGACATGTATTTATTCATGTTCCATTTTTTTTTTTTATTCATATAACTGATTTTGAATTGATGAATTGATTTATACAAATACAAATTTAAAGACAGGAACAATTTCTTATTGATTTTTTATTTTCAATATTATTATTAAGAAAAATAATAACAATTGTGTATTCATTTCATTGAAATAAATTCATAATTGGTTAATCAATTTTATTGCCAATAATAAAACTGAAACAAATTGTGTTATAAAAACAGTGTACATTGAAGAATTTTACATGAATTCTATGAAATCACTGAGATTTTTACTCTTTTTTTTTTAATCATTAACTATTTCACATATTTTGCGAACACATTTAAATACAATTGACCTCATAAATTAACTTGCCTCATGTGTCTGTTCATAAAACAGTCAAGTCTGTCAACACCGACAAAAATTTTAACTCAAACGTGCGCCATTTTTGAGGGGAAGTGTTCAGCTGTCAGTCCACAAGCTTGGATTTCAAACTATAAAACTGCAAAATGCGCACCGCTTTGAAGGCATCGCTCGGTTGGAAATCAAATGAACAACAAGAGGGAAAAAAGATTAGCCTTTTAAAAAAAAAAAAAAAAAAAAAATGACAAAAAAGGATTCAATAAAATACAGCTGAGATATACTAAAATGTTGCCTTATTCAGAAAAAATAATGAGTATTAATGACAACTTCGAATTTAGCATAAAAATAGAGGAAATGTGTGATGTTTAAGCAGTGGATTAAATGACACGACAAGGAGAAGCTTCTCTTGCTCACGCCTCATATCAATTTTTATCATGATGGGAAAAACCAAAAGTTCACGAAGAGACGGAAAAAAAAAATTAACACCTCGTCTCACATTCATGTCGCACAAAGACGGCGGGAAAATGACAAATTCACACGCCGCAGTGAAACGTGATGATAGCGTCCATCCGCTGCTGTGAGCCAGTCGACTGGGAAATCAGCATCAACAGACATGTTTAAGACAGAAGCCGTTAATGGAGTCTTCTTTTTTTTTTTTTTTTTGTGCGTGTGCAGAATATAATAATTATGATATCACGATGGAACATTTGTGGTCTATACACCCACAAATATGATGTGATACATTACAGGGGCGTTCATAAAATATGACATACATATGCCACATTAGAATATGTGATACCGGCCGTATACAGATCATCAAAGAGATAAACATGGTGTACTCGAGGTACATAGTCCATTAAATATATAAATGTGGTACAATAAAGATGTGTAGACATTAAATATGATGTAAATGTGGCAGATTAGTAGATACCTGGTTTCCAAACAGGTTAAATCCATTGATGGCCTCCAAAGCAGCCTTGGCCAGCCCCACGGAGCTGCACAGAACAACATTTGAATTTGATGTTAATTCAACGGGATGCATTTTTTTTGCACTTGTATGACAATGTAATTTTTTTAGACCTTTGTTTTTAATCATCTTTTTACACTTCACAATTTTGAAATGTCAAATTTATGTTTATTAACAGTACTTAAAAAAACTATAGACAGTAATACCCCCTCCATCGTGGGGGTTACATTCCAGACCACCCACGCGATATAGAACTACCCTATTTAAATAAACCCAGGGCATGTTTTTACAGCATACATGACAACATTGTTTTAAAACAAACACATTTATATGAGAGTAGCAAGAGAAATGGACAAGACAATTAACCTACAGCAGTCATGTTCTGTCGGCATAAAAAGCAGGATTTGGTTTGCAAATCAATAAGTAGGCTTTTCAATCTTTTTGGCAGCTCCTGTACTTTACTCCTTACGTTGTACTTTTCCACCCCTTTTTTTGTCCTTTAATGTCTGTTGTGAGTCCTGCTAAGTTTCAGATGTTATTTTATTAGTTTTACTGTGTTGAGTAACACATTTATGTTTATTAATAGTGGTTAGTTTGCTTTCCAACTGACCTTGAATGCAACTCGGTGCTGCCGTTGTTGTACTTGCTGCCGCGCTCCCACATGCCGTAGTCGGGCACCCTGTAGGCTCTCTCCACGCAGAACACCAGGTTCTGGATGAAGGACACCTGCAAAATATCAGAGGGGACAAAGGTTGTAGTTGATGTACTGTGATCTGCCTTCAGTGCGAGAGTTCCATTCCAGACGCATGTGAGACGGGCAGGAAGGAACTGAAACGAATTTGACGTCACCTTTCATGCTATAAATAAACAGAACAATTACACATCAACATCAGTAGAAGAGTCCGTGGCACTCACTGCCACACATACATGCGCAAAAGATGTATAATTACCGTGATTGCTACGGTGGCTAGTTATTAAGGATAACTAGCACCCTGCACAACAGAAAGAAAGAGTCACAGATTCTAAAAACGATTCCTGCCACTAACAGTGTTTGTGACACGTGATTCATTAGACAGACAGTTCCTCGTGCTAACCGCTACCTTGCACCGTAAACGACAAGCAATAGTCTACAAAGTCAGAACAGGTTGAACGATTCTGTTCTGCCTGTTTGAGCTCTCGTTCACAACCAAGTGGCGAGTCTTTCAGGGGTGGGCAGTGCTGCGACAAGTTGAGCAGATGCCACTCGCCAATATGCAAGGCTGAGAAGTTGAAGAATTTGGAGTAGGTACTTTGCCAAACAGAAAAGGGCTACAGCAGAGTCATACACCCCAGAAAAAAAAATGTGTGTGTGTGTGTGTGTGTGTGTGTGTGTGTGTGTGTGTGTGTGTGTGTGTGTGTGTGTGTGTGCGTGTGCTTGAATGATTGGAGATGCAATCTAAAATGACAAATCTGGAGGGAGAAGCAGGAGTTGGAGGGAGTGAAGGTGTTTGTCTTTCTTGTTTTGGCCCTCACTAATAAGACAAGGCAACAATCCTTCTTGCTCATTTCTGCCGTGTCAGGACGTTGTCAAGAGAGAAGCGATTGCAATAGTAATACGTTGCATGGCAGTTGCTTTTACTCTCTGGATTATTTCTAGTTGTTCTGCCTATTTCTATTGTGCAAGGTAGTTATTATCCCCCCCAAAAAAATAACTGTAGAGAAGAGATCCCTTTGAATCATGATGCCCGTGTTGCCAAGTGTGTTGTGGACATTTTTATTCTGTGATGTTTTTGTTCAAGTTATTCTGTTTATATCTATTGTGCAAAGAAGTGGTCGTCATGAGCATGGATAATGGATAACTACAGCTTATTTCTCATCACTTGGTCTTGGTGTGCAACATCGAGGGTATCACGAATAACTAACAGCTTTTTTTTTTTAACTCTATGGATTATTTCTAGCCATGGTGTTTTATTTTTATAGCGCACATGGCCAGGGCCGATGGCATGTATAGTTCATTCACAATAAAATGCACATTGGCTCACTGATCGAGTGGTCGTCTCCCAACCCGAAGGTTGGGGGTTCAATCCCCGGTCATTGTGACCTTGTTGAAGTGCCCTTGAGCAAGATACTGAACCCCGCCAGTTGCTCTCGAGGCTGCGTGATCAGTCGTGTGTAAAAGCGCTTTGAGGTGGATGTGGAGTACCTCTGGGCTGTGGATTTGAACCATGGTGTTTTGGGATTTGTACTGTGCCAGGCTATGTTTATGAATAATAATTATCAAGAAGAGTGATCGTGTAAAATTATACGATGCGCAAATGGTGTTCTGTGTATAACCGTGGACTTTTTTTCCTGCTTATTTTAGTTGATTTGTTGAAAGGAGCTGAGGGGGTGTTTTGTCTTCTCGTTTGGGGCTTTGATAATTAGATGGACGGATAAAGGGGATTAAATGTTTAGTATCTTAATGGCATCTTAATGGACAGTACACACACATGCAGACACACACAACATCTGGCAGGCGTATGGACGCATCTTCAGAGGACACGCGACAGCTTTCATGACAGCTTTTTGGCACACGCTCAAAACAAAGGAAAGAAAATCACCGCATTGCAGCTTCCACTTCGAGCATGAACTCAACCCAAGGGGGAAAACGTATTTGGTACTTCCTTTAGCATTATATGTGTTAAATTCGGAGATGCATATAACTTCGAAGGAGTGCATGAAATTGTAGTTCAGAAGAAAATTTGCAAAAATGCCCCTTCATCTTTGAGGGCCACATAAAAAAACAGAGGAAAAAAACAGAATGACAAGAAATTATAGACTTTTCAATTTTGACGATGTAGAATCAGTTTTCACAAGCTACATGTGATCTAAGCCACATGCAAGTCCACATGAAAGGGAAATTGAACTACACTGAAGCGACTCACCAGAGAATAAAATGTAGAAAGTAGCAAAACTACATTTAAGCTACTTCAGTTGGGTGGAAACTCTCAAATTTTTGTCACTAGACTATTTGGGTATAAATGAACACTAAATCCTAAAATATTCCAATCATCATGCTTCTTTCTATCACTGCAATATTAATGTCTTGGCTGAGTTCAGCCGCAGCACTGTGTTGTTCTGAACAATGTAAAAAAAAAAAAAACCCGGTATGTACCGGTACTAGACAAATGATGTATTATTATCGTTAGCGTCATCATTCTCCATAGCCCTGTAGAATTGATTATTAAGTATGCACTTTGTCAAGGCAGAATTAATGATACGGCTGTTGTATTGGCTCTCATCTTTATATCTTCTTTGCAGTCACATTTGAAGCAAAGGCTCCTATTTAAAGCACAGGCTCATTAAGTCCGGACATGCACTGCCCAAATGTAAATAAGCATCACATCAGTGGCGAGGCTTTGGCTTGTGTGCATGCCCAAAGTCATTTTAAACATCGCCGAACTGCTGCATGCCAAGTGCAAGCACCGTAACCGCAGCAAAAACCACAATTACCAACAAAGAAAGAACACCTATCTTCGCGGAGGTGTTGAACTCTGTTGTAAACCAAAACAGCAGCACCAATTGAGTACATAATTAAGACTAATAAACACCTCCTGAGCAGTAAATTTAACTATCTCAGTTTCAAAAACACAATCGATCACTTTAAATAGCTGCCTACTTGAGGGAATTGAAACACGATTGTTAATTTGTTTATTGCTCTGAAATGAATGTTTAGACATATTATTACCTAACACCATAGATGGCAGCGTTGACATGAAACAGTTAACTGTTGAGCGCATTTGAAAATTGTAGTGAACTAAAATAGCACCCCCCCCCCCAAAAAAAAACACTACCTCCCTCAAACGGACAGCTAGTAAATTTCCGTAGCTTCATCGACACTATTGTCCAAACAAACTCAGGAACATTGAAAAGCTGACGGCTTAGCACATTTGAGTTCTGTTTTGAACCAAAACAGCAGACGTGTCCTAAAAACAAATTAACGCATCTGTCAAATAACTGCCTCTCGGGTAGGAAGTGTAATTATCTCACTTTTTAGACACTAACAGTGTTCATGTGAAATAGTTAACTGCTGAGTACATTTGAACACTGTTGCTTATCAAACCACTAGCACCAAACAATCTACTTAGGAGAAATGAACTCCTCCGTCTAAAGATAAATAAATATGGCACTTCATAGATGCCAGCATTCACACATGGACGTTAAAGGGTTAGCTGCTGAGGACCTTTGAAATCGGCGAACCAAAACAGGAGCGTGGGAGTAGGTATACAGCCTGTCGCTAGTGCGTACCTCATCGGTGTTGTAGATAATCTGCAGCCCGGAGCAGATCATCTCCACCAGGTAGAGCAGGAACAGGGAAACGGCGTCGATCTGCGGCGAGCACACAAGCGTAGCCACTGAACATTTCTGGTGATTTCGACGATCGCAATGCAAACACAAAGGTGCCTCAAGCCTTCTTTTTGGCTCATACATTTCAAAAAGCTGACACAAAGTCTCCTCAAATGTCACTTTAAGTACATTAGTAATGCAAGTATAAACCCACTTAGCATTGTGACCAGATAAGCTGACAAAGGTATTTGCTGAATTTGGTCTTTTTTTTTTTTTTGAATGCAAATAAATTTTAAATCAGATGTATAGTAAACTTAAAAAATGTAAATTCAACACACCATTTTTTTTTCCATGTCAGAAGTTTTACCGTGGCTTTTCTCAAGGGTGATGCCTTCAAAGACCAAAAATAGTACCAACCTGCAGGTGATGGTATTGGTCATAGGTGTGGATCTCGTCGCCCGTATGCACATTGAACATGGAGTGCAGACACTTGGAGGGGGTGGGGTCCTGTTTGAACTGCTCCACCTACATACGGGCACACAAAAGGGGGTCTCTGTGTAAAAGGAATCGCTGCGTGAAAGGAATTCCTGTGTAAGAGGGATCTACAGTATCGCTGTGTGGAAGGGATCTCAGAGTGAGCAGGATTGCCCATGTAAATGGTGTCTGTGCGAAACAGATCTCTCATTGAAAAGGATCTCTGTGTGAAAGGGATCTCGGTCTGAAAAAAGGTCTCAGCATCAAAGGGGTGTCGGTGTAAAAGGGTTCTCTGAGTGAAAGCAATTGTGTACTTTTGAAAGGGATCTCTGTGTGGATCCCGAAATGAAATGAATCACTTTGTGACATTGATCTGTGGGAAGGGACCTGCATGTCAAGTGATCTCTGAATTTAAGAGATCTCAGTGAAAAAGACGTAAAAATAAAAGCTCTCCGTATGAAAGGGATGTCTGTGTGAAAGGGATCTCCATGTAAAATGTGAGAAGAAACACACCTTGGTTTGAAAGTGATAGCCGCATGTACGCAAATGGGGTCTCGGTGCCCGTTACCGACGAGTGAAAGGTATCTCAGTGAGAAGGATTTCTGTGTGAAACAGATCTCTCAATGAAAAGGATCAGTACTTGGAACAAATCTCTGAAAAAGATGGAATCTCAGTATCAACTACCTACGCGTAAAATGGATCTCTCAATGAAAGGGATCTATGAGTGAGATCTCGCAAGACACTTCCCAATCTATCAAATTACATTGTGGAAAATGATTCAATTTTCGAGCAGGGATACCAGCAAATTGAGGGAGCGTGTAACACAAAAAAGTTAATATAGGAGTGTAATGTTATTCTTACGAAATCACGGTAAGTCCACCCAAATTCATCTCATGCATTCCTCATGACTCTTAGTTTGTTTATGTCCTCCGCTGTCCCATCCGTGAAAAGGGCTTTTTTTCTTTTTCAAAATTCCAGGGGGCGCTGGTGTGTGACTTTGCTTTTTCCTGTGTACGTTGGGGGTAAGGTATGTGTGTGTGTGTGTGTGTGTGTGTGTGTGTGTGTGTGTGTGCGCGCGCGCAAATGTACGTGTGCGTGTGGTGGCGACATGAAATCACAGCTGGCCGCCAGCCGTTCCCTCTGTCACACAGAGTTATAAATAATTGGGCTTTTGTCCCACTTTTCCCTCATTTGTTTCTCCTCTTGCTGGCTCACGCCAACATCAGAGCAGCCACTTACTCATACTCCCACCGTTTTTTTCCTCTCCAAGTGTCATCATATTTCTTCCTCTGCGCCAACATCAGAGCAGCCACTTACTCATCCTCCCACCGTTTTTTCCTCTCCAAGTGTCATCATATTTCTTCCTCCTGCCCCAACTCCTACTGTTCACTGATATTCGAACTGCCTGCTCCTCTTTTTCCCTCTTCAAATTCAAAATGTTTCCCCTGAGGCATTTTATTTTCTTCACTTTTGCTAATAGGAAAGGGTCTGTTAATGAATGTTTTGTGAGACTTCTTTTGTTTTAGGCTTTTCGACAATTGTACTGTTATTTGTTATTACTGAATTATCTCTTTTCATATTTTTATTTTATTTACATTGTCATTATTTTATCGCTGTGATGATAACTTTTTGGAATATTAGAGCAAATACATATTTTCGATATTTGCATTCATTTTTCATCCATATTACATTCTTTTTTTAATGTTCAATGACCATTATTACTTCCAAAATGAATAGCACTGAAGTCCAAGTTTTTCTTTCACTTGAGATTAAAATTGCCAAAAAGGGCAATTTTTTTGCATGATTTTGTTGCATTTATTTTTCATTTTTTCTATTATTATTTCATTTATAATTTTTACAAATTCCTTTTTTATTTATTATAAAGTAAATTTTCTCCATTCTCATTAAGTTTCCCTCCAATCTGGATATCTTTGGCATTGGTGGGCAGACAAAAAGCCACACCCTCAAAAGGCAGCCTGACCAATCATGTTGCAGCACGGAACAAAGGTCTGACATATTCAGTCAGACATAAACTATATTTTTGCTCTTTTTAAATTATAGTTATGGTTGGCACCAATGATTGACAAACTGTCCAGTCTTAATATGTACTGACCTTATGAGCCTGCCTCATGTAGCAGTAGAGGATTCCTCTCATGCACTTAATGGCCGAGTGCTCCAGTTCGTGGGTGCGTCCCATGTCGTCGTCGATACGTCTGTAGCCCCAAAACACAGCGCAAGTTACAGTAAGTGTCCGATTTGGATTCTTTGAAACTCCACATCCACATTGAGCAAGAAACAACTCCGGGCTCACTGGTCAACTAACCCCAACACAAACTGCGGAAAGAACCGCCTAAAAAAATACAGCAATATTTCCACATACGAGGCACCTGAGACTGCATAGTACACACTTAGCTTCGACTAGCGCTGACTTAGCTTAGACTAGCTTAGACTTAGCTTCAGCTACATACCCCAAGAGGGGCACGGGAAGAAACATGAGGTTTTACAATAACCTAGCTAAGATCTACCACACAGTTCCAAGGCCCAATGGATGGCTTACAAGCAGAGCAAAGTAACCCCCCAGAACAAGAACCACCAGACATAAAAGAGGCCCTACGTCAGGCACGTCAAACCGACAATTTCAATAGGGCACGTGTACCTAATGTTGTGGCCAGTGAGAGTGTCGATGCTGACAACTCATTAATCAGATATTGGTGCCGTTTCACAGGCTCGGATGACAGGAGAGCAAGGCGCATGTTCATTATAATGCAATTGAACAGTGAATGAGATCATGTCATTGTGTGACACACACACGCACGCGCACACACACATAAACACAGCAGAGAAAGTAACGCCACTCTGCGGGGCCGTCAGATGAGAATCATCTAAATTAAATCCCAGTGACAGTTCTAATAGAATGCGGCCATGACTGATGGCTCCGATCCGCCGCCGGTCACATACCAACACTCTATTTTTAACATCCCCCCCACCCTACCCCTTCCATTTCCCTTCATTTTTTTTCTCTTCCCTTTCTTCATCACATCTTCACTCACTCTTGTATAGTCCTCATGGCTCTGTTAGTTTGTTTTTGTCCTCATCTGTCCCAACTAAAATAGCCAATCAAAGACGAGTGCAGGCACAGAGAGCATTGAACGCTTGGTAAAGTGCCTCAGTGGGGGGGTGGGGAGGGAGACAAAACTAAGCAGCACTGTGTGTGTGTGTGGGGGGGGGGGGCTGAGTGATGTTGCCTAAAAATAGAACATCCAATTGTGTTGTTCTTGTTTCATTATATCTGATAACAAAATGTTGCTCCCCCTCCCCATATGATTTGATTCATTTCTGGTCGCCTCCTTTTCTTCATAAAAAAAAAAAAAAAGTCTTTTTTTTTTGGTCTTTATTGAAAATAAGTGCTTTCTGGTGGAAAATAGTCCCCCCTTCTGTTTGAGTCCTGGCCTTTTCCCAATTAAAACATCTTAATTATTTTGTGAGTGTATGTGTTGAACTTGTTCCGTGGCCAACCTTTTAATAGGATTTTTTTGGGGGTGGGGGGCACAAGTCTTCGGGGAGTAAATCTGTGGTAATGATGAGGAAAATTATAATCTTGAGGAGAAGTTGCAGAGCATATAGACATAGAATTGTATACAAATACTTTTGAAATAAACTTGTGTCACATGCTGCTTCACCCAGACGTTACCATCTCCTGGTATACCGTGATACTGACCGATAGGCTACGGCCAGCGCCCAGGCTCCTGCCGCGCAGTACAGGGAGTCCCGCACCTTGGCCTCTTTACATGTGGAGCAGGTCTTGACGGGGAAGAGGCCGGTGGTGGGACTCTGGTAGTTGAGTATGGTAGTTTTGACTGGTAACAGACAGGAAAAAAAAACAAAAAAAAAACTCTTGATGAAGTCACGCTAAGAGGCACAACTGACAATGAAACATGCATGAAGGAGAATTACTGAAATTTGTCAACCACTTCATCAGCTTGAGTCCTTGATATTCATGATGAATATACAGCTTGAGGCAGAGAAGATAATGAGTTTTTTAAACCCCCCCAAATAACGCGCGCACACACACACACACACACACACACACACACACACACACACACACACACACACACACTTCAAACAGCCAATCAGAATTGTGATGGTATGAGATGTTGCAAATGGCTGAACATCTCTTACTGCCCCCACAGTGAGTTTCTCGGCCCATGACTTTTCAGCTAGGCTTGGTAAATATTCATGAATTTCAAGCAACAGTTGGACTACACCGTGCGGTATTTGTATAGTATTCAAATGTACAATTTAACTAGTTTTTTTTTTAAAGGATCCTCTCTGAATGACCATACATCTTTTTTTTAGAATTGAATATGGACCCTGAGCATAAGATTTTACCCACCATTGTACTAAACAATAGATAGCAAATATTAGGTTAACCTGCACAATGTAATGAGGCCCCCCCAAAAATCCTAATCTGATGCTTTGTATTTTTCAAAGCACCATCCAATGCATAATCTTTTCCACTTGCCACAATATGGTCTGACAAACTCAATAACGGTACAGTATGCAGTTTTTTTTTTCTCCCTTATATGGAAACAATGATGAATGATTTTTTTGATCAAAGAATACAGGACGTTTTACAACTGCAGGATTTTTAACTTTGAATAGCAGAGCCTTTTATCGACCCTGCATCAAAATATGCAGAAATATGTCACCATTCAAGCCTCTGACATATTAATTAATATACTTTACGCGCACACACACATGGCAGTAGTACAACTGCAGAGGTGACTAATCTATCTCGGGGGTATCACGTCATTTTTCATCAGCACGTTAGGTGCCACAAATGGCAGGCGACATCCATTCTGCTGGTCGTTTGTTACACAGTCAGACATAGTGAAAGATTTAGAGCAACTGAGACACTTGAAAGATGAGCATACGGTCTCACAAAAAGTACAGAAGTCGTTTAGATCCACCTTCCACGCACTAATTAATTGATGGAAATACATGTGCACATCCATCATCAAAATGGTTAGATGCCGTGCAGGATTAGTGAAAGGCAGAAGTGTTGAAATAATACCACAACAACAACAAAAAGATCAAAGAGAGTAAAATACACAGAACAAAAAATCCACCATAAATCACCCTCCCAAAATTGTGGAGGTTAAAATAAATCAATTGTAAATCCCTCATAGGTGCTCAGGTTAAAAAAAAAATGTGACCATGTATTTGTCAAAAATTGTGCAATTGAAAATACTTATGTAAATCCACCCAAAGTCACCCAAGCGGGATGCACATCGAAAAAAAATGCAAAAAGATGCACAAACAAAAGCAGGATGTTAAAAAGGCCAAAAGTGGTGCTCATTAAAACCCAAACAACTGTAAAGCACCCAAAGGTTGCACCGGTAAATGATTCAAAGTGGTGCATGTCAAAATAAGACTATTTACCACAAGTGTACCAAATGTTAAAATTAGACTAGCATAAATCCCCTCAAAGAAAAAATACAAGCGTTCAATTATAACGGATAAGCACGAGTAATCAAGGCCTTACTATCCACAATCCTCTCCTCCATCGATGCAGTTTTCATGGAATTTCACCAACATCAAAGCACTATTTTTTTTTCCCAGTTGTCATCTTTAGTTTGGCGCCACGTCTTCCTCCCACCTATCCTCTCTCCTCATCAGCCCCCCCCACCCCCCCATGCAGCGGAATAGTTTGTACTTAATCATTCGACGGATGATTTAGTGAAACATTATCTTGATGGATGTCAAAATATCCTCCCAAAAACCCAACATTTAATTTGCATTTGGAAGAAGTTTTAGGGACAAACTACTTTTGTGTGTGTGTGTGTGTGTGTGTGTGTGTGTGTGAGTGAGA